CTCGCCCTGGGCGGAGCTTAGAGCGTTGCTGCTGAGAAGAGACGCGAGGGGTTGGGGGGGTCATGAGAAGGGTTTACCAATGCAAGAGAAGGGCAGTCGGGGTTCATAATCTGTTCTCACACACACACGACACAAAAACAGGGGTCACGACATGAAACGAGCAACTATAAGTATAACTCTGCCACCAGGAGGTGGTTTATCACCCGGGAAGGACTCACTGCTGCCAGGAGCCAGTCTCAAAAAGGGCTCGAGCAGATTCCTGGAGGGCCCCGCGGGGCACAGGTGGGCACTGAGCACGGGGCAAGGGGCTATTTGCCACTTGCAGGCCAGGGCCCACCCAATAAAACTAAAAGCTGCCGGGTCAGTGGCAATTCTTACGTTCCTATAGGAGGGGTAGAAGAGAGCAGCCTAAGCCAGCCTACTTGGATTTTTGTGAATTGCAATCTTTGGTCTCTACAGAAATAATTCACGTATCACCACATCTCCCATACGTCCTTCTAAAAGTGCTTATACCTCACCTTAAGTTACCACAAGGCATTTGTGCCTTTGCTTTCTTTGCAGATGCCAGTTTCATGAAAAGTTCATCACAAAAAAAGCGTGCTGCGGTGATCGTCTCACATTCCTACAGGCCTCCTCTGAAAGGGTCCCCAACGCTCTTGACCAAGCACTCTCTATAGGGTCATTTTGTTCCCTACTGAAATGCAGATCTCTAGGGTGGGACACTCCAGCTGTTTAACACCTTGTTGCAGGGTTTATTAGAGCAAATTACACAGAGAGCAAAGACTTTCGGATCCACCTGAAGTTTCAGTGAGGAGATGAAGGCAGAATCTAATCATCAAAGCTGGAATGTGGCCACCATCAGGCTACCTCGGCATGAAGTGATGAGTCAGCTTTCACACACACCAACAAAGTAGTGCCTCTAGCGGAATATTGCCCCTTGACACAGTTTAATTAAGCAGGGAGAGCAGAGCGCCTGCCCTCCTTTCAGAACCATAAACCCTGCCAGTACCACAAATCAAGATGCCAGCAGCTGATTCCTCTTCTAGGACTTGGAACTGAGCTGTCCTGGTAGCAAAGAGGTAGTTAGACATGTTAGTCTGAAATCAGAAGGCAGACTAGATATGCACCTTTACAGATGAACTAAATAAGACATATATCTAATTTAGTTATATATGGGGGTGCAGGGGGAGTGCAAGCTTTCATGAACCCAAATTCACTTCATCAGATGCTGTGAAAGGACACGTAGAAAGCAGAGATAGAAAGGAGATAAATTAGAATACAAAAGACAAAGAGGGGTAGGGGGAGAGAGAAATGGACTGAAAAACTTCCCAGATTGCCTGGCTCCTGCAGCAGTCTGATTTCTGTGTCATTTGGACCTGCTCTAACTAGGTTTAGGCACCAGCAGCTGCTCTACAACTGTGCTCCCACTGAGGCAGCTGATCTGGAAAACATAAGAAACTGGGTGCATCTACACAAGACTTCTACCGCGGAGCTGACTAATTAGCTCTGCAGTAAAACATCACCATCACACACAACCCTATTAGGTCACAGTATACTAATGAACGCCGCCACAGAGTAGTCTGGATAAACACAAGTACTACCTTGCAGTGGCGTTTCGTGTGCTGCAGTGCACGTGTAGACCATGATGGCACTGGCTGGGGTATGACGGTGCTTCAGCGCAGGTGTAGCCAGCCCGCAGCCTCTGCACTGAAGCATCCTTATACCGCAGCCAGCCCCTCCCCAGCACAGGGTCCCAGGGCTGCTCTGATGGGGTTCCAGGTGCTGTGGCGAGGCTGGCTGAGGCACGAGCAGCCCCCACATTGAAGCACCCTTATGCCTCAGCCAGGCCCCCCACAGCACATAGAGCCTGATTGGAGCAGCCCTGAGCTGGCAGGGGACCCAGGGGGTTAGCCTGCCAGCCCAGGACTGCTCCAAAGGGGCTCCATGTGTAAGGGGTAGTGGGGGACAATGGCTGAGGCATGAGGGTGCTTCAGCACAGGGCCTACTCATGCCTCAGCCAGCTGCTCTGCAGCACATAGAGCCTTGGAGCAGCCTGTGGCTAGCAAGCTGACCCCCAGGGTCCCCTGCTAGCCCAGGCTGTTCCTACCAGGCTCCATGTGCTGCGCATGACTAAACTCCAGAGCAATATGCTCTGGAGTTTTTTGCTTCTGTGTGCACATTCAAATTGCATGCATGGGAGCAAAAAACTCCAGACCAATAAACTCCAGGAGTTTATTTGTGTGCATTAATTACACATGTAGATGCACCTACCATGCAATAGAGGCCCAGCCCAGAGTCTCTTTTTTCCTGCCTTGTTGGCTACCCACAGAAGCGAGCAAGAGTGGTGGGTACCTCTGACCCCTCTGAAGCCACGATCCAGTTTCTTGGCAATAACACTCAAGTTAGGCCCAGAATAACACAGGCCAAATCCCTACCTCCACCCCAACTCATTTGTCTTCTAGAGCACATGCAGTGGTGGGAGCCACCCTCCTCCCATCCCCACACCCCCCCATATGAGCTGCTCATGGCTCCATCCCTTTCCCTCCCCCACTGGGCAGCGCCTGTCGGCATCCATCCACTTTGGCACCCAGGATGGTCGCCCCGCTCGCCCCCGCCCCTTGCTACGGCATTGCATGCTGGGATGGAGCCAGGTCCCTGGGGGACTTCAGACTGACATTCCCCTCTTCTTTCTGCAGTCTCTCCAGTCCCAACTTCCTCACACCCCTCTCCTCAGAAGTTACGTGCAAAAACAGCATCATTCTGCACTTGTGCTGTCTTCTACTGCAATCCTTGCTTCATTTATAACAGGGGTGGGCAAAATGCAGCCCGCGGGCACCCCTGGTTTATAACCTCAGTAGATCAGACTAGTTCACCGCATGGGCAGAAGCCAAGATGACACTTACTAGTTTTGCAAGTGTCTGATACTAGGAGCCCTGTACTGTCAGATATGCCATTTTTCACAGGGGACATCAAACTAACACCCTGATTTCACATGGCCTTTCCCTGACTATCAGCATACTGTATCTAGTGTTCCACCAAATTCCAATAAACCCAAGTTCTGCCTCTTTAAGTGACAGCTGCATTTTTAACTGGAGGCCAAGTTCTTCACTTCCTGTCCTAAACTTCTGCATAGCAATGTCCTTGGATTGCTGCCATCTTCCCTACAGGGAGCTACTTTTTAGCAATCAGCCACAATCCTCAAGCAGTCTTAAGGTACCACACAGCAAATAATTGAAGCTTTAAACACACAATAAATAAATAGCAAATCATAAGAGAAACAAACAATACCCAATCTTTAACAGACCCAGGCAATCTGAAACCAGCTGCAATGGAGCCTCAGCAGTGCAGCACCCAAGAGAGAGGGCAGGCAGTAGTTTGTTTTTTCTAAAAGTTTTGCTCAGGAACATCATCTTGTCTTCCCCAGCCTTAGCAGCTTTCCAATGGGAGTCCTGGCTGCTAAGGAAAGCTCCAGAGTACGGACCCAGTCACTTTAGTAGCTAGGGTCATCCAAACAGAGTGAGGCTTGTGTTTAGTATTAAGATCTGAGCCCTTAATTCCTTCCAACTGGGAGGACAGAGCTCCCACCCCATGAGGCAGTATCAGCTATTCTCAACAGAGCAGGATTTCAAGGCCAGTAAACTCTACCACCCAAGTGGTGTACTGTATCTGCACAGTAGAAGGAAACTGGCAATCTGGCCCCTTCCAACAGAGTGGGAGCTGTTTATAGCGTAGATGCCATGATGTGCATGTCTTGTTTCACAATCAGTAAAGAACCTGGACACAGCGACAGGACAGAATGTGCCCTGAAGCATCAGTTGCCACGTCTGCTCAGCTGAGACAATTCAACATATTCTTGCATGGAGCTTAACTACTGTCTGCAGACATGAGGAAGGTGGGTGATGCAGGGAGCTGGAAGCCCCCCACCCGCTGCAGGGGACAGCCTGAGTCAGAAGGGTGGGGGAGGTCCCATTCAGCAGAGACGGTGAAGCCCAGTCCTAACTTTCTTGCTCTCATCATAACTGCTCTAACTGGGCTTTCCAGTTTCTGCAAGAATAAATCCGTCACCAAGAACTAAAGGAAACTGGGAGATGCCCTTATCAAACTCCGTAACAGCTCTCCAGGATCAGCCACCCTCTCTTTGAAGTGCTACTCCAGCTGATTACAAACATGCTGATGGTCAGTCACAGACCCTCACCCCAGCTCTCCGCCCCTTTGTATTGTGCAGCAGTTTTAATACAGATTATCTTGGGTGAGGCTGGGGTACCACAGGCCTACAAAAGCATTATCAGCATTAACCAGGCTGATCCTAGACCAGATAAATGAAAATAATGAGAAATCTGCATCAGACCACCTTCCTTCTGAGTTAAATTAGCTATATCTGCAAGCTGGGTCCTATGCTGCTACCCTGTCAGGAGCCCAGACACTTTCCTGCCATAAATCAGTGCTGTTTTTACCAGATGCCTTTGAAAGGTCCAGATTGGATTAGATCAGGGGTGGGCAATTATTTTGGCCTAATAAGGGCCACTTAGGGAGTTATGGTGAGTGGTTGCAGGCTGGGTCAGCACCCCTCTGTGCCCCCCACCAACAGCCCACCAAACTCCCTAAGTGCCTAAGTGGCTCTGCTCCATGCTGGGCTGGGCAGGGAGCAGCATCTGGGAGCAGGATGGGCAGGAAGGGCCAGGATCGTGGGGCCATGATAGTGTGGGGCTGGGAGCCGGGTCCCAGGGCAGAGCCATGATCCACTTCCCACATGTCCCTGTGACAGGTGCCGGTTCTGCAGGCAGGGGTGCACAGGGAGTGGATCATGGCTCTGCCCTGGGCCCTGGCCTTGAGTTGTCACTGCCCAGAGATCCCGAGATCTCCATAGAGACTGGTGGGGTGCATGGCCAGGTAGACAGGATGGGGCTGCAGGCAGACAGGGAGCAGTGTCCGGGAATGGGGCAGCTGGGGCTGGACTTGGGATCTTGGGGAAGTGACAATGCGGGGTTGGGGCCCAGGGCAGAGCCACGATTCACTCCCTGCATGCCCCTGTCCGTGGAACTGGTGCCTGTCACAGGGACATATGAGCAATGAATCACTGCTCTGATCCAGACCCTAGCCCTGCGCTGTCACGGCCCCAAGATCCTGGCCCTGCCCATCCTGCTCCTGGACGCTGCTTCCTGGCAGCCAACCCTGCCACCTGGCTGTGCACCTTGCCTGCATGAGTCCCGCCCCCGGCAGTGGGTGCGGGGTAGACAGGCCAGGGTGCCGAGGCAGCAAGGCCAAGTCTGGCAGCACCAACAGCCAGATGGAGCCACTGCGGCAGCTGCTGGGAAGCAAGTCTGGTTTTATATCAGCTTTAGATAAAGTGCCAAAAAGCCCTGCTGAAGCACCCAATCTATACAGACATGATGGACCCAGGTTGAACTAACATGCTGCTTCTTCCAGTAAAGCACATTGTTTGGTTTTTTTTCATGTCTGTCAGCAGCCACTAACTACCACAGCAAAGCAGTTTAAGGAAAAGCCCATTGCAAAGGTTACCTCAGAGATGCTATGCAA